TGGGATGGGAAACCTGATTACTTTGAGGAGTAAATAGAAAAAAAAAATGAAAAGAAAATAGAGTATGAGCCAGTGAAAAAATATTATGCAAAAGGATATTTTCCATTTGATACAGAGAGAGGGAAAATGTGAAAATTAAAACTTTTTGGGATGGGAAACCTGATTACTTTGAGGAGAAAATAGAAAAAAAAAAAAATGAAAAGAAAATAGAGTATGAGCCAGTGAAAAAAATATTATGCAAAAGAATACACATCAATTCATCCAAAAAAAAAAAAAAATACACACACACATCATTTACATGAAATAGTAAAGAAAATTGAAGGCATGATTGCCACTGTATAATTTTCTGTGGGTATGAGTTCTTGGGCTGGAATAGATGATGAAATCTGAATCAAGATCCCTGAACCCAGAATGAAATCAGTTTAGACAACTTGCTTTGGAGAGTAAAGACTAGCAGTGGACATATGCTGTTTTAGTTGCAGGCCAGAGTGCTGCTTTCCCTGGTGCTGCCTTTGGTGCTGATGGTGAGGGGTCTTTGATCTCTTTTTGTTTAATCACTAGGATAAATGGTGAATCCTGATTTCTTTCCAGTAAGCCTTATCTGTTTGTCTTATTTTCAAATCAGTAGAGTTACAATGACATTAACTTAGTCACAAAAGCTCCACAGTTTACGATCTGACAAGAAAGAAAGATAAACCAGCTCATTTCGTTGGACATTCTTATCTTAGCATTAGGGTTCTGGGATGTAAATAAATAAATAAATAAATATATATATACCCAATATTATTATATACTAAGTTTCATGACCTCTATTTACAACCTTATAGTTTTCCATTGAAATAACATGCTTTTTTTATTTTTCATTTTTTTGTGGCCAAGAAATAGAAATAACATGCTGAAATGTCTCTGTTCTGGATCTAATATGTGAAGACGCATATGAAGATGTGGTATGTATTATATAGGCTAGATCATTAATCTAGTTGTAAGTTTGATATTTTGAGGATGGCAAGGCATATCTATTTTTAAGAATTGCAATCTGCTGAATTACATAGAAGTAGCAATCATAGCAAAAAAAGGGAAAAAAGGTAAATAAAAACTTACCTTTTCCCCTGCTCCCCTGTTGTACTGTCATGTGCGCTTGCTTGATACATGACCAGTTAAGTTACAGTTCTTCAATAAAATCTTTGGCACGATTGTCTAATAATTACCTACCCAATGAGACTGAGTGATACAGACTAAAATCTTTCTATTTATTCACACAAACTGTTGTGATTAGAGAATGCTGGGAGTGTCTCCTATCAGTAGTATCTTGTCTACGGGATATATATTATTTGTGATGACTTTTTGTCTTTAACAGACGCTTTTGTTCATTCAAATTTTTTATAGTTACTGAATTGTTTGATGGCAGATGATGTACATTTTCTTAATGTTTCACTCTGGGTGGTGATATGTTGGTATATATAACCACCCTTAGCATGCTAAAGATCATATTTGCATGCTTAGTTAGACCCACTGTCTCAAATTGCTATCCATACTGGCCACATTCGAACTATAGAAACTAAAGAACTCTATATAACACTGAAGATGGCTTCTTGTTAAATTATTACCACACCATATACTGTTAATTATCTTTTAGTAGCCACCTATAAAGTGTTCCATCATTGCAGGTCGACTATGCATGTACACCTGAAGAAGTGCAACAACATTTCCAGTCTTGTGGAACTGTAAACAGGGTCACCATTCGTACTGACAAGTATGGCCAACCAAAGGGTTATGCTTATGTGGAGTTTCTTGAAGCAGAGGCTGTTCAAGAGGCTATTCTTCTGAATGAAACTGAACTACATGGCCGCCAACTGAAGGTAAATATGTAAAATCCTTTGTCTGATTCCGTTTCCCTTAGAAAATAAGAACAAAGTTTCATTTATTAAATTATTTTAACCAAATGGTCTTCTTAATTTCTTCATAGGTTACTGCTAAGCGAACCAATGTACCTGGGATGAAGCAATTTCGTCCACGTCGTCCCAACCCTTTTATGCAACCTAGGGGGCCATTCATGACTCCTTATTTCTATCCCCCTTACGGATATGGGTATGCTTCTCTATTGTTGCTTCCTCTTATCTATACTTAAACACTGAGCTTGATGAGTATTTTCTTTACATATTGCAGGAAGGTTCCGAGATTTAGAATGGCAACTCGATATAGCCCCTACTATTAGAGACATGGATCTCACTGCTAGTGGCCCAAAATACTCGACTCTTCTTTAGAATGTGGTTTTCAGAAGATTGATGAAGGATTTTTTTTTCTTTTTTTTCTGCCAGTTTAGCTGTGTTTGAAACCATGGCAAGAATTATGTTTGAGCTTGTTAATTAACTGTGTAATTGTGTTGCTCACATTGCTATGTTGCTTTATATGTTCGGGTCTTGGTTGCGCCTCGGCCAGTGTATGCATGGGCTTTATGGGTGGCTATTGGGCCTAAGAGCAGAATGGTCTAACCCAGAACTAGAGTCGATCAATGGTTGTGGGTTCTGCTAAGAACTCTTAGTGGCATCTTTTGCTGATCACGGGCTTGTCTTGGTGGAATAGAGAGCTATCTTGATTTAATTTTTATTTTATTAATTTATTACAAGATTAAAAAATGAAAATGACCAAGCCTGTACTATATGTTTATTTATTTATTTTACAATGCATAATTTAAATTTAAGATTTTTATGTATTACTCTCTATTTATTTTTAATAAATTTAGTTTATTTTTTAATTTTTAAAATAAATTT